CCTTTTCTTTCTCTCCTTCCTCCTTCTTTCCTTCCTTCCTTCTCTTTCCTTCCTTCCTTCCTTCCTTCCTTTTTCTTCCTCCTTTCCTTCTCTCCCTCTTCTTCCTTCCTTTCCTTCCTTTTTCCTTCTCCCTCTCCTTCCTTTCTTCCTTTTTCTTTTTCTTCTCTCCCTCTCCTTCCATATTCTCTTCCCTTCCTTCTTCCATCCTTCCCTTTTTTCTTTCCTTCTCTCCTCTCCTTCTCCTTCTTCCTTCTTCCTTCCTTCTTCCTTCTTCTTCTTCCTTTTTTCTTCTTCCTTTCTTCCCTCCCTCTCCTTCCTTCCTTTTCCTTCCCTTTTCCTTCTCCCTCTCCTTCTTCTCCTTCCTTTTTCTTTTCCTTCTCCCTCTTCCTCCTCCTTCCTTCCTTTTTTCTTCTTCCTTCCTTCCCTCCTCTCCTTCCTCCTTCCTTCTTCCTTCTTCCTTTCCTTCCTTCCTTCCTTCTTCCTCTTCCCTCCTTCCTCTCCCTCCCTCCCTCCTTCTTTCCATCCTTCCTTTCTCCTTCTCTCCCTCTCCTTCCATCCATCTTTTCTTTTGCTTCTCTCCCTCTCCTTCCTTCCTTCCTTTCTTCCTTCCTTCCTTCCTCCCTCCCTCCCTCCCTCCCTTCCTTCCTTCCTTCCTTCCTTTTCCTTCAGTCCCTCTCCTTCCATCCATCCATGTTTTTTCTTTTTCTAATCTCCCTCTCCTTCCATCCTTCCTTCTCTCCTTCTCCTTCCTCCTTCCTTCCTTCCTTCCTTCCTTCCTTCCTTCCTTCCTTCCTTTTCCTTCTCTCCCTCTCCTTCCTTCCTTCCTTCCTTCCTTCCTTTCCTTCTCTCCCTCTCCCTACTTCCTTCTTTCCTTCCTTTTCCTTCTGTCCCTCTCCTTCCATCTAACCTCCCATTTTTCTTTTCCTTCTCTCCCTCTCCTTCCTTCCTTCCTTCCTTCCTTCCTTCCTTCCTTCCTTCCTTCCTTCCTTCCTTCCTTCCTTTCCTTCCTTTCCTTCTCTCCCTCTCCCTCCCTCCTTCCTTTAATAATAATAATAATAATAATAATAATTTAATAATAATAGTAATATTAATAATAAATAAAACATTAATATTCCTCCCTATCTCCCCGGAGGGACTCACGACAGAAATATGTATTCTGTAATCCGCTCTGAGTCTCCTTGGAGAGGTAGAGCAGAATATAAATAAAGTACATTATATTATATACTATTTTTGGTACCCAGCATTGCCCGCGTTATTTGAGAAAGTCAGTTTTTTGATTGTGCAAAATGAATAAAGAAACACTGGGATGTCTGTGGTGGAGGAAACACGTAAAATCTAGTTGCTGATTAGTTCTGCTCTGTTTGTTGTGCCCTGCAGAAAAGAGTAGGAAAGGGTTAAGGGAGAGGCAGTGGGCGGGGTCTTGCAAATTCCACACCAATGGAGAGAGTAAGAAACACTGGGATGTCTGTGGTGGAGGAAACACGTAATATCTAGTTGCTGATTAGTTCTGCTCTGTTTATTGTGCCCTGCAGAAAAGAGTAGGAAAGGGTTAAGGGAGAGGCAGCGGGCGGGGTCTTGCAAATTCCACACCAATGGAGAGAGTAAGAGACACTGGGATGTCTGTGGTGGAGGAAACACGTAATATCTAGTTGCTGATTAGTTCTGCTCTGTTTGTTGTGCCCTGCAGAAAAGAGTAGGAAAGGGTTAAGGGAGAGGCAGTGGGTGGGGTCTTGCAAATTCCACACCAATGGAGAGAAAAAGAAACACTGGGATGTCTGTGGTGGAGGAAACACGTAAAATCTAATTGCTGATTAGTTCTGCTCTGTTTGTTGTGCCCTGCAGAAAAGAGTATGAAAGGGTTAAGGGAGAGGCAGTGGGTGGGGTCTTGCAAGTTCCACACCAATGGAGAGAGTAAGAAACACTGGGATGTCTGTGGTGGAAGAAACACGTAAAATCTAGTTGCTGATTAGTTCCACACCAATGGAGAGAGTAAGAAACACTGGGATGTCTGTCAATGTCTCCAATGAATGTGGCACAACCTTGGCACATCCAGGGCAAAGTTGCCAAAGTAACTTTTCCCAGATTTACCTTGGGTGATAAATGGGAAGGACGGATGTCTCCAAAGGAACTAAATGTGTGTCTTCCGACTCCCATCTGTTTCTCCCTCCAGCTTGTATATGAATTTTTCCTCCGCTTCCTCGAGAGTCCAGACTTCCAGCCCTCGGTTGCCAAGCGCTACATCGACCAGAAGTTCGTCTTGCTGGTAAGAAGAGGCAGGAGCGGAAGGCGGAAGGGTGGGCGGCGGGATTCGCATTCGCGGCTGGGCCAGAGAATGACAAATCCCTTGCTTTCCTTGGATGGCTCTAGAGTTCCGCATAATGCAGCTTGGACTGCATTATAGTTTGATCTGTGTTATTGGAACAGTGTAGATCCAACGCCACCAGGGAAACTGCGAGAAGGTGAGAGCAACGGCGCTGGCTTCGTTTCCTCCTTCCTACCTTCCTTTTCCTTCTGTCCGTCTCCTTCTATTCATCCTTCCTTTTTCTTTCCCTTCTCTACCTCTCCTTCCTTCCTTTTCCTTCTCTACATCTCCTTCCATAATATTTTCTCTCCCTTCCCTCCTTCCTTCCTTCCTTCCTTCCTTCCTTCCTTCCTTCCTTCCTTCCTTCCTTCCTTCCTTCCTTCCTTCCTTCCTTCTCTCCCTCTTTTTCTCTCTCTCTCTCTCCTCCAACAGCAGCTTGCACCCGCAGACACAGATCTTATTTTAGGTCTTGTGGCCCACCAGCAGGCCACAGCCCACAGGTTGGGAACCACTGGTGTAGGCCCATACAATGCCGTTCAAACAAAATATCCTACTATTTTTCTGGGTCCTTTTGCTGACTTTTTTGTCCCGTTTCTCCAGCTATTAGAGCTTTTTGACAGCGAAGACCCCCGGGAGCGCGAATACCTCAAGACCATCCTCCATCGCGTCTATGGCAAATTCCTCGGCCTGCGGGCATACATCCGTAAGCAGTGCAACAACATCTTTTTGCGGTGAGTTCTGTAACGTTTATTTGCTTCATTGAGTCCATTGACATTATGTGTACAACACCCAAGAAAACAATCAGTGGGAAAAACAACAAAAACAGGGAATAACAATTAAAAAGGAGCCCCTGTGGCACAGTTGGTTACAGCACTGAGCTGCTGAACTTGCTGATTGAAAAGTCACAGGTTCGAATCCGGGGAGCGGGGTGAGCTCTTGCTGCTAGCCCCAGCTTCTGCCAACCTAGCAGTTCGAAAACATGCAAATGTGAGTAGATCAATAGAGCCCCCGGTGGCACAGTTGGTTAAAGCACTGAGCTACTGAACTTACTGATTGAAAAGTCACAGGTTCATATCCGGGGAGCAGGGTGAGCTCCCGTTGCTAACCCCAGCTTCTGCCAACCTAGCAGTTCGAAAACATGCAAATGTGAGTAGATCAATAGATCCCCCGGTGGCGCAGTTGGTTAAAGCACTGAGCTGCTGAACTTACTGATTGAAAAGTCACAAGCTCAAATCCGGGGAGCAGGGTGAGCTCCCGCTGTTAGCCCCAGCTTCTGCCAACCAGCAGTTCGAAAACATGCAAATGTGAGTAGATCAATAGAGCCCCCGGTGGCGCAGTTGGTTAAAGCACTGAGCTGCTGAAGTTGCTGATTGAAAAGTCACCAGTTCAAATCCGGGGAGTGGGGTGAGCTCCCGCTGTTAGCCCCAGCTTCTGCCAACCTAGCAGTTCAAAAACATGCAAATGTGAGTAGATCAATAGGTACCGCTCCAGCGGGAAGGTAACAGCGCTCCATGCAGTCATGCTGGCCACATGGATTTAGCCTGACTTAGAATCCAGGGAGCGGGGTGAGCTCCCGCTGTTAGCACCAGCTTCTGCCAACCTAGCAGTTCAAAAACATGCAAATGTGAGTAGATCAACAGATACCACTCTGGCGGGAAGGTAACGGTGTTCCATGCAGTCCACATGAACTTGGAGGTGTCTACAGACAACGCCGGCTCTTCAGCTTAGAAATGGAGATGAGCACCGCGTTCCAGAGTCAGACACAACTGGACTTAATGTCAAGGGGAAAACCTTTACCTTTACCTAACATTTAAAACTCAACCAACAGAACATAAGAGATTTTCGACCCACGAGTTGGCTGTTCAATTTTGCGTTTCTCTTTTAGGATGTGGATGCTTATAGGGAAGGCAATAAAGACAAGGACAATAACGAGATTATTCCTTTGTTTCCTATTTCTGCTGCCAGATTTATCTACGAGACAGAGCATTTCAATGGCGTCGCAGAACTGCTAGAAATCTTGGGAAGGTAATAAACTTTCAGCACTATTTGGCGGGCTTGATTGAGGTTCTAGGTTTTTACCCTGCCACTTTTGGATTCTTGCTTGCTCAGGTGTTCCTGAGAGTTTCTCTGCAGATCTTAGGAAGCTCTTTCTTGATTTATCATGTCAGAAGCAAATCGAGGGTACGGTTAAAATGTATTTAAAAACACAAAATTTGCTCATCTCCCCATTCGCGAGTCGTGGACTCCACTCTGTAGTCTCATTTCTGAAGGATGCCCCTTCAACTCGTGGCTGTCAGAAGGGATAGAGAGTTTCATCTATGCTGACGATTGTGCCATCACCGCTCAAGGAGGGAGCTTTGAAATGGTTGAACAGAAGCTCTCTGAAGCTTTAGGTGCCCTTACTGCCTATTACAGGGAAAACCAGCTGGCTCCATCAATGTTTAACATTTACACAACAATCAGCCTTTGCCAGAAGGGACAGTGAGTTTCATCTATGCTGACGATCATGCCATCACCGCTCAAGCAGGGAGCTTTGAAATTGTTCAACAGAAGCTCTCCAAAGCCAGAGCACAGCCTATTCAGCGCCATCCAGGTTGTCCAGTCTTCTGTATGACCAGGAGGGAGTCTGTCATCTGGTCTCAGCCGCTGGATTATGCCTGCCACTTTTGGACTCTTGCTTGCTGAGGTGTTCCTGCGAGTATCGCTGCAGATCTTAGGAAGCTCTTTCTTGATTTAGGGCATTTGCATGCTGGCTGACATTCAAACAGACAATGAGCCGGAAATGTCACTGCCTTGGTCCTATCATTATTGGCTGTTACTTCCTGACAGGTGTCAGGCGATGCAATACCAGCTAAACAGTATTTCTTTAGTGGTGTTGGGCATAGACATTCTGTGATAATGTGGCATATCTCATTAATAGCCATATGCACTGTTTTGACGTGGTGATATGTATTCCACACTGGGTGTGCGTACTCAGCAGCAGAGTGGCCAAGCACAAGAACAGATGCCTTCACTGTGTCTGGTTGTGATCCCCAGGTATGCCAGTCAGCTTTCCTATGACATTATTTCTAGAACCCACTTTTTGCTTTATATTCAAGCAGTGCTTTTTGTAAACCAGAGTATGGTCCAGAGTGATTCCCAGGTATTTGGGTGTGCTCCAGTGGGATTCCTTTCCAGGTCATCCTCAGAGGTCGAGATGCTTGTCTGTTCTTAAGGTGAAAAGTACATGTCTGCATTTTAGATGGTATAGGAATCAGTTGGTTTTCCCTATAAGAGGCATTAAGAGCACCTAAAGCTTGGGAGAGCTTCTGTTCAACCATTTCTGTTCAACCATTTCAAAATGGTGATGGCATGATCATCAGCGTAGATTAAACTCTCCTTCGCGGTGATCATCCTTTGTGATATTATATATTTTTCTCAGGAGAAGGGCTGGGAGTTATAATTCTCAAAGTATTGTACCATACAAGTCCCATATCCCTAGGGATGCATTTCTGACCTATTGTGGTATCAGCAAACTACAGCAAACTTGGGTGGTGATGGCATGATCGTCAGCATAGATTAAATTCTCCATCCCTTCTGGCAGTGGCTGGTCATTTGTGTAAAAGTTAAACATTGATGGAGTAAGCACACTCCCTTGAGGCAGGCTCTTCTGTTTCCGCCATCTGCTTCTCTGGCGCAGGAACTCAACAAAAAAGCTCCTGTTTTGTAGCAGATTTTCTATGAAATGGGCGAGGTGGTCATCTTTTGTGATATTATAATTTTTTTCAAGAGAAGTGCTGGGAGTTATATTTCTCAAAGTATTGTACCATACAAGTCCTATATCCCTAAGGACGCCTTTCCGAACCTACTGTGGTATCAGCAAACGACAGCAAACTTTGGTGGTGATGGCATGATCATCAGCATAGATAAAACTCTCTGGTCATCAGCAAACTATAGATAACTGCAAACCTTATTAAAATAAATGATTTCCACCGGTTGTTACACACACTGTAGATGTGAAACCTATTTTCTTTCACTACCTGGGCAATAAAAATATAAATATACAGTGGGACTTGTGGATCCATTGGGGAAAGGAATGCCCTCCGGTCTGATCGGATTTCCTTTCCTCTCCTTCCCCAGCATAATCAATGGGTTCGCCTTGCCTTTGAAGACAGAACACAAGCAATTCCTGGTGCGAGTCCTCATTCCGCTGCATTCGGTGAAATCCCTCTCGATATTCCATGCCCAGGTGAGTCCAAGAAGAAGTGGAATGTGCTGTGACCACATGTCTATTAGAACTGTATTTTTGGGAGTTGTAGGCCAAAACACCTGGGGAGGGACTCACAGGTTGAGAATCACTGCAAAGTTGAGTGGAATGTGCTGTGACCACATGTCTATTATAGAATCATAGAATCAAAGAGTTGGAAGAGACCTCATGGGCCATCCAGTCCAACCCCTCTGCCAAGAAGCAGGAATATTGCATTCAAATCACCCCTGACAAATGGCCATCCAGCCTCTGCTTAAAAGCCTCCAAAGAAGGAGCCTCCACCACACTCCGGGGCAGAGAGTTCCACTGCTGAACGGCTCTCACAGTCAGGAAGTTCTTCCTCATGTTCAGATGGAATCTCCTCTCTTGTAGTTTGAAGCCATTGTTCCGCGTCCTAGTCTCCAAGGAAGCAGAAAACAAGCTTGCTCCCTCCTCCCTGTGGCTTCCTCTCACATATTTATACATGGGTATCATATCTCCTCTCAGCCTTCTCTTCTTCAGGCTAAACATGCCCAGCTCCTTAAGCCGCTCCTCATAGGGCTTGTTCTCCAGACCCTTGATCATTTTAGTCGCCCTCCTCTGGACACATTCCAGCTTGTCAATCTCTCTCTTGAATTGTGGTGCCCAGAATTGGACACAATATTCCAGATGTGGTCTAACCAAAGCAGAATAGAGGGGTAGCATTACTTCCTTAGATCTAGACACTATGGTTCTCTTGATGCAGGCCAAAATCCCATTGGCTTTTTTTGCCGCCACATCACATTGTTGGCTCATGTTTAACTTGTCCACGAGGACTCCAAGATCTTTTTCACACGTACTGCTCTCGAGCCAGGCATCGTCCCCCATTCTGTATCTTTGCATTTCGTTTTTTCTGCCAAAGTGGAGTATCTTGCATTTGTCACTGTTGAACTTCATTTTGTTAGTTTTGGCCCATCTCTCTAATCTGTCAAGATCGTTTTGAATCCTGCTCCTGTCCTCTGGAGTATTGGCTATCCCTCCCAATTTGGTGTTGTCTGCAAACTTGATGATCCTGCCTTCTCCCTTCATCTAAGTCATTAATAAAGATGTTGAACAGGACCGGGCCCAGGACGGAACCCTGCGGCACTCCACTTGTCACTTCTTTCCAAGATGAAGAGGAAGCATTAGTGAGCACTCTCTGTGTTCGTCCACTTAACCAATTACAGATCCACCTCACCGTAGTTTTGCCTAGCCCACATTGGACTAGTTTCCTTGCCAGAAGGTAATGGGGGACCTTGTCGAAGGCCTTACTGAAATCCAGGTATGCTACATCCACGGCATTCCCCGCATCTACCCAGCTTGTAACTCTATCAAAGAAAGAGATCAGATGAGTCTGGCATGACTTGTTTTTGATAAATCCATGTTGACTATTAGCGATGACTGCATTTGTTTCTAAGTGTTTGCAGACCGCTTCCTTAACAATCTTTTCCAGAATCTTGCCCGGTATCGACGTGAGGCTGACCGGACGGTAGTTGTTTGGGTCATCCTTTTTTCCCTTCTTGAAGATTGGGACCACATTGGCCCTCCTCCAATCTGCTGGAACTTCTCCCGTTCTCCAAGCACTCTCAAAGATGATTGCCAATGGTTCCGAAATGACTTCTGCTAGTTCTTTCAATACTCTTGGGTGTAGTTGATCTGGCCCTGGGGACTTGAACTCATTTAGAGCGGCCAGGTATTCCTGGATGACTTGTTTCCCAATTTGGGGTTGGATGTCCTCTAATCCCTCATCCACTCCATCTTGCTGAGGTTGAAGACTCTCTTTTTGTGAGAAGACCGAGGCAAAGAAGGCATTAAGTATTTCTGCCTTTTCCCTATCCCCTGTCAGCATTGCCCCATCTTCTCCTCGAAGAGGTCCTATCGCCTCCTTGTTTTTCCTTTTTCTACTGACATAAGAATAGAAGCCCTTTTTATTGTTTTTAATGTCCCTGGAAAGTCTGAGCTCGTTTTTTGCTTTAGCCTTGCGGACCTTTTCCCTACAGGTGTTGGCTATTTGTTTGAATTCTTCTTTGGTGATTTCTCCCTTTTTCCACTTCTTGTGCATGTCTCTTTTGTGTCTTAGCACAGTTAGAAGTTCTTTGGACATCCATTCTGGCTTCTTTGCACTTGTCCTATTTTTTCTCTTTGTTGGCACGGTTTGCAATTGCGCCTTGAGTATTTCACTCTTGAGAAATTCCCATCCATCCGTAACTCCCTTGTCTTTTAGTATCTGTGTCCACGGAATGCTGCTCAGCGTTTCCTTCATTTTTTGGAAATCAGCTCTCCTAAAGTTCAAAATGCGGGTTTGACTTGTCTTAGTTTCGGCCTTCCGTTGTACCTCAAATTGCAGGAGCACATGGTCACTTGCCCCTAAGGATCCTACCACTTCGACCGCATCGATCAGGTCCTCCGCATTCGTTAGGTACCCACAATGACAACAACATTGCGCGTTTTAGGAATGCAGGAGCAGCTCCGAACCACTGATGTATACACATAATAAAAGTGAAAATATGTATGTGTGTATGTGTGTTATGGCCCTCCTTCCAAAGGCCCTCCTTCCAATCACATTGCAGGTTACAGCGAGCACCATGGACATGTCCAAGAGCTCTGACAATGTCCTCCACCAACACCACACTGCCCACCACCCAAGGGAAGGCTTTCATTTAGAGACAATTCCATCCTAGATTGTATGTGTTTCCTCCACCACCGATATCCCAGTGTAAATATGTCCAATTGCCCTGCCAATGTCCTCCACCAATACCACACTGCCCACCACTCAAGGGAAGTCTTTCATTCGGGGACAATTCCATCCTAGATTGTATGTGTTTCCTCCACCACAGACATCCCAGTATAAACATGTCCAAGAGCCCTGCCAATGTCCTCCACAAACACCACACTGCCCACCACCCAAGGGAAGTCTTTTATTTGGGGGCAATTTCATCCTAGATTATATGTATTTCCGCCACCACAGACATCCCAGTTTAAACATGTCCAAGAGCCTTGACAATGTCCTCCACCAACACCAGATTGCCCACCACCCAAGGGAAGGCTTTCATACAGGGAGAGTTCCATCCTAGATTGAAAGTGCTTCCTCCACCACAGACATCCCAGTGTAAACCTGTCCAAGAGCCCTGCCAATGTCCTCCACCAACAACACACTGCCCACCACCCAAATGAAATCTTTTATTCTGTGACAATTTCATCCTAGATTATGTGTGTTTCTTCCACCACAGACATCCCAATGTAAACATGTCCAAGAGCCCTGATAATGTCCTCCACCAACACCAGATTGCCCACCACTCAGGAGAAGTCTTTCATTTGGGGACAATTTCATCCTAGATTGTATGAGTTTCCTCCACCACAGATATCCCAGTGTAAACATGTCCAAGAGCCCTGACAATGTCCTCCACCAACACCAGATTGCCCACCACCCAAGTGAAGGCTTTCATACAGGGAGAGTTCCATCCTAGATTGTATGTGTTTCCTCCACCACAGACATCCCAGTGTAAACATGTCCAAGAGCCCTGCCAATGTCCTCCACCAACACCACACTGCCCACCACCCAAATAAAATATTTTATTCTGTGAAAATTTCATTCTAGATTATATGTGTTTCCTCCACCACAGACATCCCAGTGTTCTTTACTGAAATGAGAAATGAATTCTTTCCTCTCTCTCTATTTTTTTTTCAGCTGGCTTACTGCGTCGTTCAGTTCCTGGAGAAAGATGCCACGTTGACCGAACACGTGAGTTTTTGCGGATGTGTCTGAACAGCTACGAATGCTAAAAAACACAAAGATGAGTGTTTTTAGGGCAGTTGGTGTTCTGTAATTCAGCTTTCTGACCATTTTGCTTTCTCTCCCTCGTTCCCCTCTTATCCTCATCCATCTTTCCAGGTGATCCGTGGTCTACTGAAATACTGGCCAAAGACCTGCACCCAAAAGGAGGTACGGCAATACCGATTGATTGATTGATTGAGATACATTACCTCTCTCTTATCTCAATACTTCTTGTCAAGTTTGGTCTTTATTGGTCATTTGATGAGGGTCGCAGTGGTCTCAGGAAGTGAGTGAAGGTACTGCAAGTCCCATCATCCATGGACCACCTCCTTCAAACTGCAGCAGGATGTAGAGTGGGTCATGGGGGCTCTGTGTGCCAACTTTGGTCTTTATTGGTCATTGGATGAAGGTCGCAGTGGTTTCAGGAAGTGAGTGAAGGTACTGCAAATCCCATCATCCATGGACCACCTCCTTCAAACTGCACCAGGATGTAGAGTGGGTCACGGGGGCTCTGTGTGTCAACTTTGGTCTTTATTTGTCATTGAATGAAGGTCGCAGTGGTCTCAGGAAGTGAGTGAAGGTACTGCAAGTCCCATCATCCATGGATCACCTCCTTCAAACTGCACCAGGATGTAGAGTGGGTCATGGGGGCTCTGTGTGTCAAGTTTGGTCTTTATCGGTCATTGGATGAGATTCGCAGTGGTCTCAGGAAGTGGGTGAAGGTACTGCAAGTCCCATCATCCATGGACCACCTCCTTCAAACTGCACCAGGATGTAGAGTGGGTCATGGGGGCTCTGTGTGATACTGTGAACCACCGCCTCCTCCTGAGAAAAATGTATAATATCACAAAGGACGACCACCTCACCCGCCTCATAGGAAACCTGCTACAAAACGGGAGCTTCTTTGTTGAGTTCCAGGGCCAGAGAAGCAGATGGCGGAAACAGAAGAATGGCTGCCTCAGGGGAGCGTGCTTGCTCCATCCATGTTCAACATCTACACACATGACCAGCCACTGCCAGAAGGGACAGAGAGTTTCATCTATGCTGATGATTGTGCCATCACCGCTCAAGCAGGGAGCTTTGAGATGGTAGAACAGAAGCTCTCTGAAGCTCTAGGTGCTCTTACCGCTTACTACAGAAAAAAACCAGCTGATCCCCAATCCATCTAAAACACAGACATGTGCTTTTCACCTTAAGAACAGACAAGCATCCCGAGCTCTGAGGATTATGACCTGGGAAGGAATCCCACTGGAGCATTGCAGCACACTCAAATCCCTGGGAGTCACTCTGGACCGTGCTCTGACCTACAAGAAGCACTGCCTGAACATCTAGCAAAAAGTGGGTGCTAGTAATAATATCATACGAAAGCTGACTGGCACAACCTGGGGATCACAACCAGACACAGTGAAGACATCTTCCCTTGCGCTGTGCTACTCTGCTGCTGAGTACGCATGCCCAGTGTGGAACACACTAAAACAGTGGATGTGGCTCTTAATGAGACATGCCGCATTATCACGGGATGTCTGCGCCCTACACCACTGGAGAAATTCCACTGCTTAGCCGGTATTGCGCCACCTGACATCCGCCGGGAAGTGGCAGCCAATAGTGAAAGGACCAAGGCAGAGACATCTCCAGCTCATCCCCTGTTTGGGTATCAGCCAGCACGTCGACGACTTAAATCAAGAAATAGTTTTCTAAGATCTACAGAGACACTTGCTGGAACACCCCAGCAAGCAAAAGTCCAAAAGTGGCAGGCTCAAATCCATGGCTGATCCCAAATGAGAGACTCCCCCGTGGGCACACAGAAAACTGGGCGACTTGGAAGGCGCTGAACAGACTGCGCTCTGGCACCATGAGATTCAGAAGAACCTTCAGAAATGGGGCCACAAAGTGGAATCCATGACAGGCGAGTGTGGAGAAGAGCAAACCACTGACCACCTGCTGCAATGCAACCTGAGCCCTGCCACATGATGCACAAGGGAGGACCTCCTTGCGGCAACACCAGAGGCACTATCCAAGGGGCCAGATACTGGTTAAAGGACATTTAATCAACTACCAAGCTTGCAAATTTTGTATTTTATCTGTTTGTTTGTTTTGTTCTGTTAGAAATGTAATACAATTGACTGGTTGCCCTGACACGACAAATAAAATGAGGCTTGAGTCCTCATTCCCATTTCTCTTCTCTTGGCCCCATCCAGGTGATGTTCTTAGGAGAGATCGAGGAGATCTTGGATGTCATTGAACCTTCCCAATTCGTGAAGATCCAGGAGCCGCTCTTCAAGCAAGTGGCCCGATGCATTGCCAGCCCCCATTTCCAGGTGACTTTGGGGGAGACAGGAAGATTTGTTTGTTTATTATCACATCAGAAGCCAATTGAGAATACAGTTATGTCATGAATAACTTTCCCACATTAGAAAAGTTATTCATAACATATTCTATCTCTGTTTACAAAAGTCTGATGTTGTTCCAAAATTGTAAATGAATAATAGATGTTATTCTGTCCAGAACTGAGATCCAACTTCATCTCAGTTCCGGGCAAATGTTGACTCTCCTTAATTGGTTTTGGTGAACGTAAGGAGCCTTGTGTTGACATAAGGAACCTTGTAAACATTTCCTTAACTTAACATTTCTTGCTGATATTGTTCCAAAATTGTAAATGAATGCTATATGTCATTCTGTCCTGAATCATCCTAGCTCCATCTCAGTTCCAGGCAGATATTGACTCTCCTCAATTGGTTTTGGTGAACGTAAGGAGCCTTGTGTTGACATAAGGAACCTTGTAAACATTTCCTTAACTTAACATTTCTTGCTGATATTGTTCCAAAATTGTAAATGAATGCTATATGTCATTCTGTCCTGAATCATCCTAGCTTCATCTCAGTTCCAGGCAGATATTGACTCTCCTCAATTGGTTTTGGGGAACGTAAGGAGCCTTGTGTTGACATAAGGAACCTTGTAAACATTTCCTTAACTTAACATTTCTTGCTCATGTTGTTCCAAAATTGTAAATGAATGCTATATGTCATTCTGTCCTGAATCATCCTAGCTTCATCTCAGTTCCAGGCAGATATTGACTCTCCTCAATTGGTTTTAGTGAACATAAGGAGCCTTGTGTTGACATAAGGAACCTTGTAAACATTTCCTTAACATTTCTTGCTGATATTGTTCCAAAATTGTAAATGAATGCTATATGTCATTCTGTCCTGAATCATCCTAGCTTCATCTCAGTTCTGGGCAGATATTGACTCTCCTTAATTGATTTTGGTGAACGTAAGGAGCCTTGTGTTGACATAAGGAACCTTGTAAACATTTCCTTAACTTAACATTTCTTGCTGATATTGTTCCAAAATTGTAAATGAATGCTATATGTCATTCTGTCCTGAATCATCCTAGCTTCATCTCAGTTCCGGGCAGATGTTGACTCTCCTTAATTGGAGTTGGTAAACGTAAGGAACCTTGTGTTGACACAAGGAACCTGTAAACATTTCCTTAACTTAAAGAGCCATTGTCTTTTATAATGTAAATACATTGTTTTTCCACCAAAAGTTGTCACGGGTCATCAATGTCAGCAGTTCGGCAACTTTTAATTACAGTCCATTAATTCTTCACCTCCTTCTTCTTCACTCCCCCCTTACGATGGGTCTTAGCTGTTTTCTTTGTGTGCTGCTCCTCAGGTTGCAGAGCGGGCTCTGTATTTCTGGAACAACGAGTACATTTTGAGTCTAGTGGAGGACAACTGCCACACCGTGCTGCCCACCATCTTTGGCACGCTCTACCGCGTCTCCAAGGAACACTGGAACCCGTGAGTTGACGGTTGGGGCATTGTAGGTTACATGATACCTAAAGTAATGGTATCCCATCTGGACAACGAAGCAAAACCAGTTTAAGTCAGTAAAGCCTATGGGACTCACTTCTTCTCTCTGTCATCGCTCTCCTTTCTTAGGACCATCGTCTCCCTGGTCTACAACGTCCTCAAGACCTTCATGGAGATGAACGGGAAGCTCTTCGACGAACTCACAGCCTCCTACAAGGTGGAGAAACAGCAGTAAGTGCAAGTGTGAGCTGAGATCAAAGCCCTTGTTTTATTTACTCAGGAGATTTCGGCCAACCTCACATTGTGAATGAGTGAGGTTTGATGCTGGAGGGAGGCAAGACGCATGGATTGGCACTGAGAGCTATGCTCCCAACTCTTGCCATTTCAGAGTCCCTCCATCTCTTTCCAGCCTCATATCTCATACACAAAAGGAGTAACAAACAAACAAGACCTGAGATTTGAGCAAGATGTGAAGACATGTTCCACACACAGGAATACAAACAGGTTGTTTTGAACCTTTTGAACCCTTTTTTCCACACCAGCACTCTAAACACTATAGAGGCCTATTATGTTTATTGCTCCTTCTCCCTGAAGGCTTTAATTGTTTTCCTCAAAGAGGTATCTTTTAACAACAGTTCCCAAAACTCTTCCTTCCTTCCCCTTCAAAACTTCCAACTAATTCTTCAAACACCAAATTCCCAACTTCAAACTGACACGCCTCTGGTTGCATTCGCTCTTACTTTCCCTCTGGCTTTGCCCATCTCCAGTTGCTAAGCACCTCCCTCTAATTTCATCACCCAATCAGACTGCTCTTCCAGCTATGAAACAGAACCTCCATGACCAACAGAAATTACTGTGTTTTCTGATGGTCTTTGGTGACTCCGCTGACATCTCCTCGCAACCCCCTAGGGGCCACGACCCCCAGGTTGAGATACACTGTCATAGACTAAGGCCTACCTCACACTTAGAGGCCTACTTCACAAACTAAGGCCTATTTCACACTGTGAGGCCTTTTCACAGACCGAGACCTTTCTCCCACTGAGGTTTCCCTCAGACTGACTGCTACTAAGCTACAGGCACAATTGTTTATAAAGAACTGCAGCTTTTACTGAGTCATGGCATCCATTTAACCCCACTGACACCTCGTTGCAACCCCCCCAGGGGTCGTGACCCCCAGGTTGAGATACACTGTCATAGACTAAGGCCTACCTCACACTGGGAGGCCTACCTCACAGACTAAGGCCTATCGCACACTGTGAGGCCTTCTCACAGACTGAGACCTCTCTCCCACTGAGGTTTCTCTCAGACTGACTACTACTAAGCTACAGGCACATTTGCTAATATAGAACTGCAGCTTTTGCTGAGTCATGGCATCCATTTAACCTTTTCAGTGCTTGACTCGTATATTTGTTATTAAAAATACCTAGTTAATTGTTAACATGGAACCCCCATGACGACATAAATTTTTCTAATGGTCTTTGGCGACCCCCGCTCACACCTCCTCGCAACCCCCCAGGGGCCGCGACCCCCAGGTTGAGATACACTGTCATAGACCAAGGCCTACCTCACACTGTGAGACCTACCTCACAAACTAAGGTCTATCTCACACTGTGAGACCTTCTCACAGACTGAGACCTTTCTCCCACTGAGGTTTCCCTCAGACCGACTGCTACTAAGTTACAGGCACACCTGCTTATATAGAACTGCAGCTTTTGCTGAGTCATGGCAATGACATGAGGTATACATGAATATAAAAATTGAAAACATGGAACCCGCATGACCAACAGAAATTACTATTTTCTGATGGTCTTTGGCGACCCCGCTGACACCTCCTCGCAACCCCCCCGGGGGCCGCGACCTCCAGGTTGAGGTACACTGTCATAGACTAAGGCCTACCTCACACTTAGAGGCCTACCTCACAATCTAAGGCCTATCTCACACTGTGAGGCCTTCTCACAGACTGAGACCTTTCTCCCACTGAGGTTTCCCTCAGACTGACTGCTACTAAGCTACAGGCACCCCTGCTTATATAGAACTGCAGCTTTTGCGGAGTCATGGCATCCGTTTAACCCTTTCAGTGCTTGACTCGCATTTTTGTAATTAAAAATACCTCATTAATTGTTAACACGGAACCCCCATGACCAACAGAAATTACTGTATTTTCTGATGGTCTTTGGCGATCCCGCTGACACCTCCTCACAACCCCCTCCAGGGGCCGCGACCCCCAGGTTGAGATACACTGTCATAGACTAAGGCCTACCTCACACTTTGAGGCCTACCTCACAAACTAAGGCCTATCTCACACTGTGAGGCTTTATCACAGACTGAGACCTCTCTCCCACTGAGGTTTCCCTCAGACTGACTGCTACTAAGCTATAGGCACTCCTGCTTATATAGAACTGCAGCTTTTGCTGAGTCATGGCATCCATTTAACTCCCCTGACATCTCCTCGCACCCCTCCCCACCGGGGCCCTGACCCCTAGGTTGAGATACACTGTCATAGACTAAGACCTACCACACACTGTGAGGCCTACCTCACAAACTAAGGCCTATCTCACACTGTGAGGCCTTCTCACAGACTGAGACCTTTCTCCCACTGAGGTTTCCCTCAGACTGACTGCTACTAAGCTACAGGCACACCTGCTTATATAGAACTGCAGCCTTTGCTGAATCATGGCAATGGTATGAGGTATAAATATGAATATTAAAATTGAAAACACGGAACCCGCGTGACTAAGAGAAATTACTGTGTTTTCTGATGGTCTTTGGCAACCCCGCTTACACCTCCTCGCAACCCCCCCGGGGGCCACGACCCCCAGGTTGAGATACACTGTCGTAGATTAAGGTCTACCTCACACTGTGAGGCCTACCTCACAAACTAAGGCCTATCTCAATCTGTGAGGCCTTCTCACAGACTGAGACCTCTCTCCCACTGAGGTTTCCCTCAGACTGACTACTACTAAGCTACAGGCACACCTGCTTATGTAGAACTGCAGCTTTTGCTGAGTCATGGCATCCATTTAACCCCACTGACACCTCATTGCAACCCCCCCAGGGGTCATGACCCCCAGGTTGAGATACACTGTCATAGACTAAGGCCTACCACACACTGTGAGACCTACCTCACAAACTAAGACCTATCTCATACTGTGAGACCTTCTCACAGACTGAGACTTTTCTCCCACTGAGCTTTCCCTCGGACAGACTGCTACTAAGCTATAGGCACACCTGCTTATATAGAACTGCAGCTTTTGCTGAGTCATGGCAATGACATGAGGTATACATATGAAAGAAAAATTGAAAACACGGAACCCGCATGACCAACTGAAATTACTGTGTTTTCTGATGGTCTTTGGCGACCCCGCTGACCTCTCCTCGCAACCCCCCCAGGGGCCCCCAGGTTGAGGTACACTGTCATCGACTAAGGCCTACCTCACACTGTGAGGCCTATCTCACAGACTAAGGCCTATCTCACACTGTGAGGCCTTCTCACAGACCGAGACATTTCTCCCACTGAGGTTTCCCTCAGACTGACTGCTACTAAACTACAGGCACACCTGATTATATAGAACTGCAGCTTTTGCTGAATCATGGCAATGACATGAGGTATGCATATGAATATAAAAATTGAAAACACGGAACCCGCATGACTAAGAGAAATTACTGTGTTTTCTGATGGTCTTTGGCGACCCCGCTGACCTCTCCTCGCAACCCCCCCAGGGGCCGCGACCCCCAGGTTGAGGTACACTGTCATCGACTAAGGCCTACCTCACATTGTGAGGCCTACCTCACAAACTAAGGCCTATCTCACACTGTGAGACCTTCTCACAGACTGAGACCTTTCTCCCACTGAGGTTTCCCTCAGATTGACTGCTACTAAGCTACTTTTCCTTCCTTTGCCAGGGAACTAAAGAAGGAGAAGGAGCGGCAGGAGCTCTGGCGGCAACTGGACGAGCTGCAGCTGCGGAAGCTGCAAGGACTGGAGGAGGCCAAGATGAACCGGCTCAACCTGCAACACAACCTGGTTGTGCAGAGTGGGGGGGCCAGCTAGGGGCCCCTCCCTCCCTCCCTCCTTCCCCGGAAGCCCCCTCCCTCCCCAAAGAGAGAGCCGGAGGGAGGCAGCACCCCCATAGTATGCCTCCCCCCCATACACTGGCCTTTGCCAAACCTCTCCCCTTTGCTCCCTTAGGTGGGCATTGGGCCCCTTGGACATGGGGGGGAATATAGTGGGATCTCTGGCGTGTTCTCTAGTCGCGGATATGGAAGGACATTTCCCTCCGTATCCGCGGGGAGCCCTTTTTCTTCCATTTGAGCAGGGGGGAACATGTCGAATTGGATCGGTCCTTCCCTTAGTGGGATTTAGGGGAACCATAAGGGGACATAATCCACCCCAGCAGGCAAGAAACTGTATTGGTTGGGAAGAGGATGGCAATCAAAAGCAATAGACCGACCTCCTGATCCAAAATGGGCGTCTCTTTATTGGGGTGGGGGTGGGGGGCAGCAGAGAGGCAAAGCAACGGGCCAAAGGCTTTTGCAGTTGGGAGGGGAAAATAGTGGGATCTCTCCCAGCAATGGCCGGTGCGTTCTCTAGCCGCGGATACGGAAAGACATTTTCCTCCGTATCCGCGGGGAACCCTTTTCCTTCCATTTGGGGTTTTTTTCTCACTCCATAACGAAGTAATCATTCCGCCTCTGACCCCAAAGGGTAACAATATAAGGGGTGGAGATGGATGATTATCTAAAACTGGGGACGATACGGATCGGGTTGTGTAACCTTCCCTGTGGATTAAGGGGTCCGAGACCGCCTTTTCCTTTCGGCCATGGCGTTGTTATGTTTTTGAGGTTTGCTGCTACTGTTGAAAGAGATCATTGGGTCTCTTCCCTTTGGTTCACTAGGTCTTGGATGTAATCCACTTCCATAAAACGAATCACGGGATATTACGGGCATTTCCATAGGACTAAAACTGGGAAAGAGTTAAGGAGTTGGTTTAGATGGGCCCATTGTTTGTTTGTTTATTTATTTATTTATTTATTTACAGCATTTATATCCTGCCACTCTCGCCCCGAAAGGGACTCATGGCAGATCACGGAACACATACACAGCGAACATTCAATGCCGTTAGACATACAGGAAAAGATAGACAGATAGAGGTATGTGTCAGCATTTTCCCCAACTTCGGCGTCCTGGAGGTTGTGCTCGATTCTGGCCACAGCGGGGTGCTGTTGCCCCATTCTCTATGACGACGAGCCTTTTATGATCACAGACTTTCCTCCTGTTCTACGGTGCCGTAAAATACCTCCCCGCTTAAGCGGTGCCTAATTTCTCTACTCACAGGTCACAGCTAATTTCGGACTGCTTAGGTGGACAGTAAGCTAGGTTGACGGTCGGGTGCTCACCCCGACTCAGGCTCAAAATGCCAACTTTTCAATTGCTGGCATTGTCTTCAGGAGCGCCTTTTACCTCTCCGCCAAAGTGGTACCTATTGATCTACTCACATTGCTGTTTTTGAATTGCTAGGTAGGCAGGAGCTAGGGCTGACGGTGGGAGCTCACCCCAACCAGCGGCTTGAACTGCCTGTTGCCCATGGTCGAATTGCCGGCATTGTCATCAGGGGCACCTTTTACCTCTCCGCCAAAGTGGTACCTATTGATCTACTCACATTGCTGTTTTCGAACTGCTAGGTAGGCAGGAGCTAGGGCTAATGGTGGGAGCTCACCCCGACTGGGTGGCTTGAACTGCCTGTTGTCCATGGTCGAATTGCTGGCATTGTCATCAAAGGCGCCTTTTAATTGTCCACAAAAGTGGTACCTATTGATCTACTCACATTGCTGTTTTCGAACTGCTAGGTAGGCAGGAGCTAGGGCTGATGGTGGGAGCTCACCCCGACCGGGTGGCTTGAACTGCCTGTTGTCCATGGTCGAATTGCCGGCATTGTCATTGTTTTCAAACTGCTAGGTAGACAGGAGCTAGAGCTGATGGTGGGAGCTCACCCCGACCAGTGACTTGAACTTCCTGTTGTCCACTTCGGCAGGAAGGTAATTGCAGAGCAGCTGAACTTGCTGACTGAAAGGTCGGCTGTTCGAATCCCGGGAGTGGAGTGAGCTCCTGCCGTTCACCCCAGCTCCTGCCCACCTAGCAGTTCAAAAAACATGCAAATGTGAGTAGAGTAATAGGTACCGCTTCGAAGGGAGGATAACTACTGAGCTGCTGAACTTGCTGACCGAAAGGTCGGCAGTTCGAATCCAGGGAGCGGAGTGAGCTCCTGCTGTTTGCCCCAGCTCCTGCCAACCTAGAAGTTCAAATGTGAGTAGATCAATAGGTACCACTTCGGAGGGAGGGTAACTGCTGAGCTGCTGAACTTGCTGAACAAAAGGTCGGCAGTTCGAATCTGGGGAGCGGAGTGAGCACCTGCTGTTTGCCCCAGCTCCTGCCAACCTAGCAGTTCAAATGTAAGTAGATCAATAGGTACCACTTCGGAGGGAGAGTAACTGCTGAGCTGCTGAACTTGCTGACCGAAAGGTCGGCAGTTCGAATCCAGGGAGTGAGCTCCTGCTGTTTGCCCCAGCTCCTGCCAACCTAGCAGTTCAAATGTGAGTAGATCAATAGGTACCACTTCGGAGGGAGGTTTGAAACCATGCAAACGTGAGTAGATCAATAGGTACCGCTTCAGAGGGAGCTGCTGAACTTGCTGACCAAAAGACAGGCTGTTCAAATCCGGGGAGCAGAGTGAGCTCCTGCTGTTTGCCCCAGCTTTTGCCAACCTAGCAGTGAGAAACCATGCAAATGTGAGTAGATCAGTAGGTACTGCTTCGGGGGAAAGGTCACTGAGTGGCCACATGACCTTGGAGGCGCCCACGGACAATGGGTGGAGATCAGCATCATGCGCCAGAGTCGGGCACGACTAGACTTAATGTCAAGGGGGAAACGTTTACCTTTACCTTTACCTTTAGGGACTAGGACATGGCGGGAAAAGAGATTCCCCCGTAACGAAGCGTTAGGAAGAATTTTCTCAAGGGTCAGCGCTGTTTGACGACGGAATTCAGTGGAGTCACCAGCTTTGAGGGCTTGGACGGTGTCATCTTGCCTGGATGGCATTTGCTCCCTTCGGTGGGCATTGGGTCCCTTGTACATTGGGTACGTTGAGGGGGGGGGCAACCCATTTCAGCAGGGGGGGGGGACATGTTGAATTGGATCGGTCCTCCCCTTTTGCAGTTGGGAGGGAAATATAATGGGATCTCTCCCAGCAAACGCGGGKGCGTTCTCTAGCCGCGGATACGGAGGGACACATTTCCCTCCGTATCCGCGGGGAGCCCGTTTTCTTTCATTTGGGCTTTTTTTCTCACCCCATAACTGTCCTTTCGTGCTAAAAATAGAAGAAACGAAGCAATCATTCCGCCTCTGACCCCAATGGGTAACAATATAAGAGGTGGAGATGGATGATTATCTAAAACTGGGGACGATACGAATCGGGTTGAGTGACCTTCCCTCTGGATTAAGGGGTCCAAGACCGCCTTTTCCTTTCGGCCATTGCGTTGTTATGTTTTTGAGGTTTGCGGGGTGGGGGTCCCCCTTCCAATGCTATGATGGTTCCACAAAAATACAAAACAGAGGGAGAAGAGTGTTGTGGAGCTCTTGCACTTTAGAACGAGGGTGGTTTTCTTGCACAGGTAGAAACAGGGATGGAAAGGTTTGGTTTGGGAAGTGGCAGGGATCGGGGGGGGGGGGACACAAGACGGTCAAGATGTTGAAACGGGGTGGGGGTGGGATATTGGGTTAGGGAAGGAAGGTAGAGTTGCTGGGACCCCGAAACGCCCAAAGGTCTCTCTGGGCGCGTCTACACTGCGGAATTGATGCAGTTCTGTACCACTTGAGCTGCCCTGGATCAAGTCTATGGAATCCTGGGAAGCTGGACTTCGGTGGGAGAGGTATTTTGGGTGCATCTACACTGTAGAAGGAATGCAGATTGGCACCACTTCGGCTGCTATGGGAGTTGTAGTTCTGCAAGGTTTTCCAAGGTCTGTAGCCCATGTGCATTGCACCACTTCCGCTGCTATGGGAGTTGTAGTTCTGCAAGGTTTTCCAAGGTCTGTAGCCCATGTTCATTGCACCACTTCAGCTGCTATGGGAGTTGTAGTTCTGCAATGTTTTCCAAGGTCTGTAGCCCATGTGCATTGCACCACTTCCGCTGCTATGGGAGTTGTAGTTTTCCAAGGTTTTCAAAGGTCTGTAGCCTTTTCTGTCCAAGCGAGTCGCACCACTTCAGCTGCCATGGGAGTTGTAGTTTTCCAAGGTCTGTAGCCTTTTCTGCCCAAGTGGGTCGCACCATTACAGCTGCCATGAGAATTGTAGTTTTCCAAGGTTTTCCAAGGTCTGTAGCCTTTTCTACCCAAGTGGGTCGCACCACTTCCGCTGCTATGGGAGTTGTAGCTTTCCAAGGTTTTTCAAGGTCTGTAGCCCAAGTGCGTTGCACCACTTCAGCTGCCATGGGAGTTTTCCAAGGTTTTCCAAGGTCTGTAGCCTTTTCTGCCCATGTGGGTTGCACCATTACAGCTGCCATGAGAATTGTAGTTTTCTGAGGTTTTCAAAGGTCTGTAGCCTTTTCTGCCCAAGTGGATTGCACCACTTCAGCTGCCACGGGAGTTGTAGTTTTCCAAGGTTTTCAAAGTTCTGTAGCCTTTTCTGTCCAAGTGGGTTGCATTGGTTCAGCCGCCATAGGAGTTGTAGTTTTCCAAGGTTTTCCAAGGTCTGTAGCCTTTCTGCCCAAGTGGGTCGCACCACTTCAGCTGCTAAGGGAGTTGTAGTTTTCTAAAGTTTCCAAAGGTCTACCCAAGTGGGTCGCACCACTTCGGCTGCTATGGGAGTTGTAGTTTTCCAAGGTTTTCCAAGGTCCGTAGCCTTATCTGATGCCTCGCCAAACTACAACTCCCACGGTCCCATAGCATGGAGCCGTGGCTGTTCAAGTGGTGCCAAACTGCATTAATTCTACAGTATAGACGCATCCCATAATGATCCAATTTCCTTTCCACCAAAAGTTTATTTGGGGGGTGGGGGACGGAAGTGATGAAGACGATGGGATATGCAATCCCTCTTTCCTTAAGGCATGTTCATGAAGACCTCAAAACCTTCACGACGGGATTTTGTTTTGGGGGGAGGAGAGTGGGAGGGTGGCATGGTGTGCGTTGCGATTCTTTATTTTTTAGCCCACACTGGAGCCCACTATCGTAGCCAATGGATTTGCACCTCTTCGGTAGCCCAGCTTTCGCCCAACCGGGGCCGTGCTCAAGGTTTCGAGGGTTGCAGCCCGCGATATATTCGGAACGTGGCGCCCGCTTGGCCAAAGCTGCACTAGTTTTGTCTCTAGATGCCACACAGTTGTTGTATCCACACACAAAGAAAAAGTCCCCGAACAATGGGGGGATTTTGTGGGGTTGGGTGGGAGGGGGGGAGGAGGATATGGAACAGAGTTATTTTGTGGGGGGCAAACCGGGGAAGAAGGGGCCTGGGTCTATTTATTGATTCAAAATAAAAAATAATGTTAACCATGGAACTTCCACTGCCCTGTTTTTCCTTTTGCTGGAATGAGTCTGTATTCGAAAATAAACGAAACTTTCGTGTCGCCGACAAATGGGTTTGCTTCCGAACCTCTTCTTCTCACCGCTTTGCACTGCCTAGTTTGAAAGAAGCCAGAAATCCCATCAGCCAACAAAAAAATAACAAAGCCAGCGGACCTGATGGGATCCCTGCTGAAATCTTTAAAGAGGGAGGACCTGAGCTGACACAATAATTCCACCAGCTCATAGAAAAAGTGTGGGTGACCAAGAAAATCCCAGCAGTTTTCAAGGATCCCACCATCATCACCCTCTTGGAACCCCCAGTAGTGCTGTGGGTTAAACCCCTGTGCCGGCAGGACTGAAGACCAACAGGTCGCAGGTTCGAATCCGGGGAGAGGTGAATGAGCTCCCTCTATCAACTCCAGCTCCTCATGCGGGGACACGAGAGAAGCCTCCCACAAGGATGATAAAAACATCAAATTATCCGGGCGTCCCCTGGGCAACATCCTTGCAGACGGCCAATTCTCTCACACCAGAAGCGACTTGCAGTTTCTCAAGTCGCTGCTGACACGACAAAAAAAAAAAAAGCTGGGAGGAGGCTTGGCCGCCTCCTGAGCGCCTTAACCAATGGGTGAGCTCACACCACTTTGGCCTCCTGGCCAATCAGGAGAGAAGGAGGTGGGACGAGAGGGAAACAATGAGAACTGGAGTGGATTATGGAAATATGTGGTGTCCATGTGATCGGCGAGTCCTCAGGGGACCTTCTAGCCAGCCAGCCAGTCTTTGATGGGTGGCAATAAACGTTGATGTCTGGCGAAGTGGCCAGGATCCATTTTTTTCTTGAACTGAGATATATTTATTTACTTTATTTGTATACCGCTCTTCTCAGCCCTTAGGTGACTCAGAGCGGTTAACAACACAGTTTCAATGTACATAGTACAAAATCATTGGACATTTAAAGCAATAGTAACAATTAATTAAACACCAGACATCAAACATCAATATAACAAATCCATCACGTCTCATCGATAGTATCAGAATCCAGTCTCATTATCCTTATTCCGTGTTCCAATAATCGATTACACTGCCCAGTCGAATGCTTATTCGAAAAGCCGGGTCTTCACTTTCCTCCGGAATGCCAACAGGGAGGGGGCCGATCTGATTTCTGTAGGAAGGGCGTTCCACAGCTGAGGGGCCACTACTGAGAAGGCCCTGTCTCTTGTCCCCGCCAGGCGTGCTTGTGAAGCTGGCGGGATCAAGAGAAGGGCCTCCCCGGACGATCTTAATGTCCTAACTGGTTCATAGGTTCATATATCAAGGGTCTGGAGAACAAGCCCTATGAGGAGCGGCTTAAGGAGCCGGGCATGTTTAGCCTGAAGAAGAGAAGGCTGAGAGGAGATATGATAGCCATGTATAAATACGTGAGAGGAAGCCACAGGGAGGAGGAGGGAGCAAGGTTGTTTTCTGCTTCCTTGGAGACTAGGATGCGGAACGGAACAATGGCTTCAAACTACAAGAAAGGAGATTCCATCTGAACATGAGGAAGAACTTCCTGTGAGAGCTGTTCAGCAGTGGAACTCTCTGCCCTGGAGTGTGGTGGAGGCTCCTTCTTTGGAAGCTTTTAAACAGAGGCTGAATGGCCATCTGTCAGGGGTGAGAAGCATCCCGAGCTCTGAAGATCACCTGGGAAGGAATCCCACTGGAGCATTGCAGCGCACCCAAATACCTGGGAGTCACTCTGGACCATGCTCTGACCTACAAGAAGCACTGCCTGAACATCAAGCAAAAAGTGGGTGCTAGAAACAATATCATACGAAAGCTGACTGGCACAACCTGGGGATCACAACCAGACACAGTGAAGACATCTGCCCTTGCTATTGGCTACTCTGCTTCTGAGCATCATATCCAATGTGGAACACATCTCACCATATTAAAACAGTGGATGTGGCTCTTAATGAGACATGCCGCATTATCACAGGGTGTCTCTGCCCTACACCACTGGAGAAATTACACTGCTTAGCCGGTATTGCACCACCTGACATCCACTGGGAAGTGGCAGCCAATAGTGAAAGGACCAAGGCAGAGACATCCCTAGCTCATCCCCTGTTTGGGTATCAGCCAGCACGCCGACGACTTAAATCTAGACATAGTTTTCTAAGATCTACAGAGACACTCGCTGGAACACCTCAGCAAGCGAGAGTCCAAAAGTGGCAGGCTCAAACCCAGAACCTCAACCAATGGCTGATACCAAATGAGAGACTCCCTCCTGGGCACACAGAAGACTGGGCGACTTGGAAGGCATTGAACAGACTGCGCTCTGGCACCACGAGATGCAGAGCCAACCTTCAGAAATGGGGCTACAAAGTGGAATCCTCGACATGCGAGTGTGGAGAAGAACAAACCACTGACCACCTGCTGCAATGCACCCTGAGCCCTGCCACATGCACCATGGAGGACCTCCTCGCAGCAACACCAGAAGCACTCCAAGGGGCCAGATACTGGTCAAAGGACATTTAACCAGCTACCAAACTCACAAGTTGTGTATTTTTGTGTATGTAAACCAAGGTTACAACGACATCTGTTATAGAACTCCAGTATGCTGATGACAATGTCATCTGTGCGCATTCAGAAGAAGATCTACAAGCCACTCGAAACACCTTCACAGAAGCTTACGAGAAGCTCGGCCTGTCATTAAACATTGAGAAAACCAAAGTGCTCTTCCAGAAGTCATCAGCCAATCCCTCTCCAATGCCAGAAATACAACTTAATGGTGTAACATTAGAAAATGTTGACCTTGGCATCCACCTCTCCACCAAAGTCAACATTGACACCGAAATACAAAATCGCATGAGCTCTGCGAGTGCAGCTTTTTTCCCAATGAAGCAGAGAGTGTTTGAGGACCAGGATATCAGTAGGGAGACCAAGGGGCTTGTTTATAAAGCTATTGTCCTCCCAACCCTGTTTTATGCCTGCAAGAAGTGGACTGTCTATAGACGTCAACACTGAGACTGAAATACAACACTGCCTGAGCTCTGCAGTGCAGCATTTTTCCCAATGAAGCGGAGAGTGTTTGAGGACTGGGACATCTGTAGGAAAACCAAGGTGCTTGTTGATAATGTCATTGTCCTCCCAACCCTGTGAAACGTGGACTGTCTACAGACGTCAACATTGAGACTGAAATACAACATTGCCTAAGCTCCGCAAGTGCAGCATTTTTCCCAAAGAAGCGGAGAGTGTTTGAGGACCGGGACATCTGTAGGAAAACCAAGGTGATTGTTGATGTCATTGTCTTCCCAACCCTGTGAAACATGGACTTTCTACAGACGTCAACATTGAGACTGAAATACATTGCCTGAGCTCTGCAAGTGCAACATTTTTCCCTCTGAAGCGGAGAGTGTTTGAGGACCGGGACATCTGTAGGAAAACCAAGGTGCTTGTTGATAATGTCTTTGTCCTCCCAACCCTGTGAAATGTGGACTGTCTACAGACGTCAATATTGAGACTGAAATACAACATTGCCTGAGCTCTGCAAGTGCAACATTTTCCCCTCTGAAGCGGAGAGTGTTTGAGGACCGGGACATCTGTAGGAAAACCAAGGTGCTTGTTGATAATGTCTTTGTCCTCCCAACCCTGTGAAACGTGGACTGTCTACAGACGTCAACATTGAGACTGAAATACAACACTGCCTGAGCTCTGCAAGTGCAGCATTTTTCGCAATGAAGAGGAGAGTGTTTGAGGACCGGGACATCTGTAGGAAAACCAAGGTGCTTGTTGATAATGTCATTGTCCTCCCAACCCTGCTATATGCCTGTGAAACGTCTACAGATGTCACATGCAACTTCTAGAACGATTCCGTCAGCGCTGCCTCCGGAAAATCCTGCAAATCTCCTGGGAAGACAAGCGGGGAAACGTCAGCGTGCTGGAAGAAGCAAAGACCACCAGCATTGAAGTAATGGTCCTCCGCCATCAACTCTGCTGGACCGGCCACATTGTCCGGATGCCCGGCCACCGTCTCCCAAAGCAGCTGCTCTACTCCGAACTCAAGAACGGAAAGCGGAATGTTGGACAGGGAAAGGGATTGAAAGACAGGCTCAAAGCCAACCTTAAGAACTCTGGCATAGACACTGAGAACTGGGAAGCCCCGGCCCTTGAACACTCCAGCTGGAGGTCAGCTGTGACCAGCAGTGCTGCAGAACTTAAAGAGGCACACATGGAGGGTGAAAGGGAAATGTGCCAAGAGGAAGGTGCGTCAAGCCAACCCCGACCGGGACCGCTTTCCACGTGGAAACTGATGCCCTCACTGTGGGAGAAGATGCAGGTCAAGGTCTGTAGACAGTCCATGTTTCGCAGGCATAAAGCAGGGTTGGGAGGGGAATAGCTTTATCAACAAGCACCTTGGTGTCCCTACAGATGTCCCGGTCCTCAAACACTCTCTGCTTCATTTGGATGAACGCTGCACTCGCAGAGCTCAGGTAGTGTTGTATTTCAGTCTCAATGTTGACGTCTGTAGACAGTCCACGTTTCGCAAGTGTATAGCAGGGTTGGGAGGATAATAGCTTTATAAACAAGCACCCTACGGATGTCCTGGTCCTCAAACACTCTCTGCTTCATAGGGAAAAATGCTGCACTCGCAGAGCTCAGGCGGTGTTGCATTACAGTCTCAATGTTGACGTCTGTAGGCAGTCCATGTTTCACAGGCATATAGCAGGGTTGGAAGGACAATGACATTATCAACAAGCACCTTGGTTTTCCTACAGGTGTCCCGGTCCTCAAACACTCTCCGCTTCATTGGGGAAAATGCTGCACTTGCAGAGCTCAGGCGGTGTTGTATTTCAGTCTCAATGTTGACGTCTGTAGACAGTCCATGTTTCGCAGGCATATAGCAGGGTTGGGAGGACGATAGCTTTATAAACAAGCACCTTGGTCTCCCTACGGATGTCCCAGTCCTCAAACACTCTCCGCTTCATTCAGAAAAATGCTGCACTTGCAGAGCTCAGGCGGTGTTGCATTACAGTCTCAATGTTGATGTCTGTAGACAGTCCATGTTTCTCAGGGTTGGGGGGACAATGACATTATCAACAAGCACCTTGGTTTTCCTAGACGTCTATAGACAGTCCACGTCTCGCAGGCATA